GCATACTTCGTGAGACGATCCACCACAACCATAACACCATCAAATCCATTAGAATTCGGTAATCAGACTTAGTGTGCTGGCAATCATCGCATCGTGCTATGTAGTCTCGAACGGTACTCTGTTGTCCGGGCCAAAAGAAAGTGTTGGCTATTCTCATCCACGTGCGATAGATACCCGAGTGGCCTCCGACCTTAGAGTCATGGAAGTGTTGCATGATCTGCTCGCGTAACTGCCCACTATCGGGAACATAGACTCGACCTCGGTGTAGAAGTAGACCATTATGCAACTCGTCGTCGATAGCAGTTGTCTTACCTGCTTCTATCGATTGGCGCAGCTCCTGGCAATGGGTGTCCTCTACTTGCGCCTTCCTGATCTCTTCCCAAATGGTCCAAGTAGGCCCAGTGATAGCACTCAACTCGGCTACATCTGTTCGTCGGGATAGTGCGTCGGCTACTGCATTCTGTCGACCTGGTCGATAGATTATCTCGAAGTCAAACCCCATAAGTTTAGACACGAACTTCTGCTTCTCAGGGGTCACAATCCTTTGCTCCAATAGATGCTTAAGCGGTTGTTGGTCGGTAACAATCTGAAATCGTCGGCCTAATAGATAAGGCCTCCAGCACCTTACAGCCTCGACAACTTCTAGCATCTCCTTCACGTACACCGATAGACCTAACCGGGGAGTACCTAGTGCCTTGCTGAGATAGGCTAGGGGTCGTCCCTCTTGCACTAGCACAGCTCCAATTCCAATGTCACTCGCATCGGTGTGTACTTCGAAAAAGACATCAAACCTGGGCATGGCGAGTACTGGCGTTGTAGTCATGGCTTCTTTTAGTTTCCCAAATGCCTCCTCGCTAGCTTCGGTCCATGTGAACCCGCCTTTCTTAGTCATCTCTGTCAATGGCTTGGCGATGGCTCCATAATTCTTCACGAACTTTCGGTAGTAGCCCGTGAGCCCTAGGAATCCTGTCAACTGCGTGAGACTTGTTGGCTTAGGCCAATCGACCATAGCCTCAATCTTTCGTGGATCGACCTTCACGCCCTCGTGTAATATGAAGTGCCCCAAATACTCAACCATCATCTGCCCAAAAGAACATTTGGATGGCTTTATGTGGAATGAGTTGGCCTCCAGAATTTTGAGCACTACTCTCAAATGCCCAAGATGTTCGCCCCATGACTTCGAATAGATCAGGATATCATCAAAGAATACCAGAACGAACTTACGCAGATACTCCTTGAAGATAGAATTCATGGTGAACTGGAAAGTGGATGAGGCGTTGCATAATCCGAATGGCATAACAAGATACTCATAGTGCCCCTGGTGCGTACGAAATGCTGTCTTTGGAATGTCAGCTTTGTGGAGTCGAATCTGATGGTAACCAGCTCTCAGATCGAGCTTAGAGAAATAGCGTGACCCGGCTAACTCATCGAGCATGTCATCAACGCTCGGGATAGGAAATCGGTCCTTGATGGTTGCAGCGTTCAGAGCTCGGTAGTCAGTACAGAACCTCCACGTACCGTCTTTCTTTTTGGCTAACAGGACTGGAGAAGAAAACGGACTCTTGCTATGCTGTATTAGTCCTGATTAAAGCATCTCGGCCACTTGCCGTTCGATCTCAGTTTTCTGAAAGTGAGCATACCTATAAGGATGAACATGTATGGCATGCTGCTCATTGATCAGTGGTATGCGATGATCGATCTCTCGGTGTGGGGGTAGCCCCTTGGGTTCGCCCAGTACTCCCTCAAATTCCTGGAGAAGCTCGTGCACATCTCCCTGTTGTTGCTCCCTTTGATCTATGGGCGCCTCAGTCTTCTCCACTACTACAGCAAATATTTGGCCTCCACCCCGCCAAACCTTCTCAATACTCTTAAGCCCTACTTCTTTGGCACCTTTTTCATTGCCCGCACTCAGTGTGACTTGCTGACCTCCGGCGTTGAATTCCATAATTCTGGTTCGATAGTCGGTGGTCACCTTGCCTAACCCTTCGAGCCATTGTGCTCTTAGGACGACATCCGGCCCAACCAGAGGTAAGGCATAGAGATCAGCCTTCACCGTAACTCCGCTGAACCTGATTGGCACCTTCCGGAAGGATTTAGTGCATTGCAGCCTCTTACCATTGGCTACTCGTACCTCAAAAGGTTCGATATTCGTGGTTGGTAAGTTCAGCTTCTGGGACAAGTCGGCATTGATGAAGTTGTGTGATGACCCGTTGTCTACTAGCACCACAACCTTCCGATCCTTGACCCAGGCCGGCAATCGCATCGTTCGAGGCCCTCGTATCCC